TGTTAATTGGTTGTCAATGCTGTTGATCCATGCTGGAATAATGCTAAACTCTGTTCTCTCTGCTCATCCCTGTAGCCATTGCCTCAGCAAAGGTTGTCATCATTTACTTTCTAGAATTACTATAAATATACTGCCTCCAGTGTACTTACTACACTTCAATCAGGATTAATAATAATAATAATTATTATTCTTTTGAGTTAGGACCTCACTCTGTCACCCACACTGGAGTGCAGTGGCATGATCATGGTTCACCACAGCCTTGACCTTCTGGGTTCAGGTGATCCTTCCACCTCAGTCTCCCGAGTACCTGAGACTACAGGTGCACACCATCATACCCAGCTAATTTTTTTTTTTTTGAGTTGGAGTCTCACTCTGTCGCCCAGGCTGGAGTGCAGTGGCATGCTCCTAGTCATGCCAGTGTCGATATGCTGGGCTCAGTCGATCCTTTCACCCTGACCTTCCAAGTAGCTGGAACTGTAGGTGCACGCTACCGTGACTGGCTAATTTTTTGTTTTATTGTAGAGATGAGGACTCACCAAGTTGCCCAGGCTGTTCTCAAGCCCGTGGGCTCAGACAAGCCCCTCACTTTGGCCTCCCAAAGTGCTGGGATGACAGGCTTGAGCCACCACATCCAGCATTTTTTTTTTTTTTGAGTTGGAGTCTCATTTGGTCGCCCAGGCTGGAGTATAGTGACATGCTCGTAGCCACCTCAGCCTCAACCCGCTGGGATAAGGTGACCCTTCTGCCTCAGTCTTCCAAGTAGCTGGAACTACAGGCATGCACCATCACATTCGGCTATTTTTAAAAATTTATTGTAGAGATGAGGTCTCGCCAAGTTGCCCAGGCTGGTCTCGAACCCGTGGACTCAGGCTCACCTCAGCCTCCCAAAGGGCTTGGATTATGGACATGAGCCACTACGCTCAGTCTAATTTTTTTATTTTTGTAGAGATGAGGTCTCACTATGATGCTAGGCAGGTCTCGAACTCTTGGGCACATACAATCCTCCCGCCTCAGTCTTCCAAATTACAGGTGTAAGCCACCATGCTTGCCCCCAAAGTTATCTTTCAAAAAGTTTCATGACACAGCTTAAAATATTTTCTCTGACCCCTTTGTAATTGCTATCTTCTTTGTCTGAACTTGTCTTCCTGACACTATTTGCCTGCACTTGTCCTTCAAGACTTCATCATTTAGAAAGCCTTCTGCAATAGCTTCTAACTGGGCATCCATCCATCCATCCACCCGTACACCCATCTATCCATCCATCCCATCCATTGATCATCCATCAATATTTACTGAGAATCTACTATGTTCTAAGGACTGAGACTGGGAAAAAGACAGATAAGATCCCTGTTTCTGAGTGGATTGCCTGAGTCCACGGGTTCGAGACCCGCCTGGGCAGCGAGACCTCATCTCTACAATAAATCAAAAAATCAGCTGGGCGTGGTAGCGCATGCCTGTAATTCCGGCTACTCAGAAGGCTGAGGCAGAAGGATCGCCAGAGCCCAGCAGGTCGAGGCTGCGGTGGCCGGGAGCAGCCACTGCACTCCAGTCTGGGCGACAGAGTGAGACTCCAACTCAAAAAAAAAAAAAAAAAAAAAAAGATCCCTGTTTCCACAGAGATGGGAACTGCATTACAAAGTTGTGTTGACTTTTTTCTTCCCCCTCTTAAAAGTAAGACCTTTGACAGTAGGAAGTTTGCTGTGTTCATCTTTGAATATTCAGTGCTTTGGGCACACAATCACTCAATAAGTAAAGGAAGTTTTATTAACCAACTGACTGAGTCTACCAGATTAACACACCTATCAGAAAATAAGTAAATAAAACAAGAAAGGAAGGAAGTCTAGTTTGGACTTTTTCTTAGTGACCCTCTGTTGACCTATTAGTAATCCCTGTTTTTTCTTGTTGTTGTTCTCAATGCTCATAAATCAGACCTAGAGCTGACTGACCCTGCTCTGTGGCTTTGATTTTCTACATCTCAAGTTAGGTGTAGCAGAAAACTCCCCTAAGTCTTTGTTTACCCACCATTGGTAAAGAGAACATTTGTTTAAGAATGTGGTGGGTATTTTCAAGCTCAGAGCAGAGAACCAGAGGGCAGAATTCCTTTTTTCTTGTATTTTTGCAAGCTTTAGTGACTCATCCCAACTGGCAGACTCTGAGAGGCAGACAGGAGAGAGAGGGCAGTGAAACAATAAGGGAAGGATGCACTGCAAATCTCAAATCCCTCTTTAGGGTGCAGATGAAACTGCATAGGGGATGGAGAACCAAAATGCTTATTCTTGTGATCTGGGAGTTTTGCCATCTAGCAGTAAATAAAGGATCAGTGGCCTAGCAACTTATGTGATATCTCAACAATTTTCCAAGTCATAGTCTGAGCAGATTGGGACTCAAGAGTTTTGCTTTTTCCTAGGACAATCAGCATTCATACATCCTGAGCTGGTACACAGAGAAGAAAGCCCCTAAATTACATGCCTCCTGAGAGTATCCAGCCTCCCAGAACACCATCCTGATGGCTACCCCTGTCCAGGGTTGTCCTTTTCATGGGGCACCATGAGGTAGAGAAGCCACAGAATGAAGCCATAGCATCATTTCAGGTCATCATCGCCATTGTCTCAGCTTAAATAGCACTCCTCAGGAAAGTGTTCCCTGAACCCTACCTTCCCCCATTAAAAATGAACCCTGGGTCAGGCATTCTATAATATGCTCTCATGCAGTCCACATTTCTTCTTCATAGTGCTTGTGGCAATTACAATGACTCATTTGTGCCTTTTGGTTTATTATCTACCCTTTCTGCTGGACTCTAGGTTCTATAAGGACATGGACAGTGCCTTCCATATTGATGTACCCTCTGGTGTTTAGCACAAGGAAGGAACTCAGAAAATAGCAGTTGAATGGATAAATGAGAGATGTCTAGTCAAGCCCCAAATGCCTGCCACATCCCTTCTTAGCTCAGTTCAAAGCCATAGGTAGACTTTTGTATCATTCTAGCTTCACCACTTTCACTTAAGAAGACCTATTAGGCTTCTCCTCTAATTCTGAATTGCTCAAGTTTCTAAAGCTGAAGCTCCCAAGTGTGCAGCCTCTTGGAATAACCACTGGAGTTTGGTAAAAATGTAGTTCCTTGGGCTCAACCCAAGATTCTGATTCAGTAGATCTGAGTCTGATAGTCAAATAGGTTTGAAAACCACTGCTCTAGAGGACAAGTTTGTGATGGATAATGGCCAAAGGCCAAGAAATTTAATTTGAGACATGAAGTTTGGATATAAATAAACTGAGGCAGGAGGTCAAGGAGATTTTTCATTTGTTTTTTGCTTTCCTACAAACAGGTGAAAAACATGCTACCATGAAGACAGATTAGCAAGAATTAAGTTGAGTAATATATTATGTTGGTCAGAATGTGGGGAAACAACTACTTTCATATATTGCTGGGATGGTTGTAAATTGCTACATCCTCACTGGGGCAATTTGGCAAATATATTTACTGTTTGACATACTTCTAGGAAATAATCAGACAAATACACATCACATTGTACCACTGCTTTGAACTGTGCCTGAAGTGGCCTACTGTCCATCAGCAGGGATTGCTTCAATAACTTATTCACACAGTAGAATATTGTGAGTCTTTAAGAAGAATGACCAGCCTGGGCAACATAGCGAGACCTTATCTCTACAAAAAATCAAAAATTACCTAGATGTGGTGGCACACACTTACAGTCCCAGTTACTTGGGAGACTGAGGCAGGAGGGCAAGACTGTGGTGAGCCATAATCATGCCACTGCACTTCAGCCTGGGCTACAGAGACCCTGATTCAAAAAAAAAAAAAGAACAAAGCAGATCTACAAGCATTGTTATAAAACCCTTTCCCGGATATAGGGTCAAGAGAAAAACAGGGCAGACCAATATTTTGTATTTGCATAAAAGGAGAAATGCTTATACCGATACACACACGCTTGAATAAGACTAGAGTATCCCTGCCAAGACACACTAGCAACAGTAGTGGTCTCTGTGAAGAGGAAGGAGAGAACTGAAGGTCAGGAATGGAAGAGAGAGAAGAGAGATACACTCTTCCTGGTATACTCTCTAGTATGCTTTGTGCATACACTCCCTTTATTAAGTTCTTTTTAAAAAAATTAGAGAAAAGGTCTCTTTATGTTACCCATGCTGTTCTTGAACTCTAGAGCTTAAGCAGTCCTACTACCATAGCCTCCTGAGTAGTTGGGACTACAGGTACATGCCACTGTGCCCAGCTCCTTTGAATAAGTTCTTAATAGTCTTTCTATGAAGGAGAGAGAGAGAGAGAGCGAGAGAGAGAGAGAGAGAGAGACAGACAGACACATAGAGACTGGTATAAAAAGACCCCAGACCTGCAAAGAAAAACACTGCACAAGCAGTGGGGTGTCCAGGGGCATCAGAGTACAATCCTCACCTTGCCCCTCTGCTCCTGATAGGCATAACTGACTCAAGGATTGGAGTCTGCAGCCCAAGTGTGCTCTGTTGATAGGTATGAGGGTTCTCAGCTCCCAGTGAGATCAGATAAGTCAAACTTGCAGGGAGAAGGGGTTCTTGGTAAATGAGGCGAAATTGATGGAAAATGTGATGGGCCACATAGATCTTTGATAGCCCTGTGACCTCCCATTAGGCTTTAAAATAATTATTTACATACTGTAAAGGCCTCTAGGCAGTCCAGAAAGATAGATGTTAAACGACTCTACTTATATTACTGAAAAGCATATAGTTAGTGTCTAATGCCTTGCTTCCAGCATAGGTTCCATAAATGCTAGTATCTTTCTTTGGAACAAGGGAGTTTTCTTGAATGCTTTCCCAAAATGGTATCCTGTCCTGTTTGTCTATACAGAAAATGCAATTAGAACCTTTAGTGTAAATACTGGGATGACCACTGGAAAACCCAGGATCATGCTCCCTTTTGAAACTAACACCTCATCAGTTATGCTTGAAAAGTCTTCCTCCTCTCCAAGCTTACAGAAATCAGAACATTCTCTTACCAGGTGCATTCCAATGGAGGTGGCCATTGCTGACTCAATCTCTGTTCCCAGGTCTTCGATGAAGGGGTATTCATTCTGCTGATGGATAATCACCTTAGCTCCAGTAGAGGACACCAGGAATGGGTTGTATTCCTCTTCATTTATGTACAAGATGACTTGAAGTCCTGGGAAGATAAGGCAGCCTGCTGTGGTCAAAGGGCAGGAAAACATCCCCTGGGGTGGCCTACCTATTGCTTTGGGAGTCTCAACACGAAGACCCAGACATTTCCAACAAGTTAGAGGTGGATGAGGGATAGACTGGAAGTTCAATGAGGGTAAGAGTTGTGCCTGACTTGCTCACTGCTGTGTCCCAGGATTTCGCTCAAAGTAAGGGTTCAAACACAGTATCACTGTCACAGTTCTTGCTAAGCATAAGAAAATTGCTCCTCTGCCTGAGACATGCATCTCCATGTGGCCCTTTGAGATGGAGAGTTTTGCTGAACATTCAAAGAGATGTGCTGTGGCTGCCTGAACCCTCAGGGAGAACATGCAGGGAAGAGAGGAATTGTTAATGATGTATCTACTCACTGCCTAACATCTCTCCCTGCCCTTGCTCTTGCTCCTTAAGTCTCTGCTGCACCCCCCACCCAGAGGGAACTTTGAAAATTGGAAGTCAGACTGGTCCCTCCCTGGCCTGAAACCATTCAGTCGCATCTCACTGGATATATGGGAGTGCCACAGCCTAAACTTGTCAAGGCAATGATAATGCAGCCCCTCTCCCCCTCTCCCCTTCCCCTTCCTCATCTCTGCCTACTCCCCGCCTCCCTTAAGAAGCTCCAAGTATAGCCGGGTACGGTGGCTCATCCTGTAATCCCACGCCTTTGGGAGGCTGAGGTGAGTGAATTGCCTGAGCCCGCGGGTTCGAGACCCGCCTGGGCAACTTGGCAAGACCTCATCTCTACAATAAAA